AGATTTCATCTAAATCCGCTATGCTATGGTTTGAACCCAGTGCCTCTTGTCCTGCTGTCTATGGCAAGAGAGAATAACTTTTCTCCATCTTTTTTCTGGTAGCCTTTCAATTATTTGAAGACCGCTCTCTTGTTCCCTCTTAATCTCCTCTTCTCCAAACTAAACATACTCAGCTCCTTCAGCCTTTGCTTGTATGGCTTGTGTTCCATCCCTTCGGTCATCTTTGTCATTCGCCTCTGAATGCTCTCCAGTTTCCCTACATCCTTTCTGTCCATTGGTGACCAAAACTGGACCCAGTTCTCCAGCTGAGGCTAACAGGCACAGCCTGGGGAAGAAGATGTTCCCGAGTTCTAATTGTGGCTTTGCTGATGGCTCTCGGAGAGGCTTTGGGCAAATGACTTTCCCGTCCACCTTCATTTCCTCCTTTGTGAAATAATGACACTAATGATGACGGACCTGCCTCACAGAGCGGTTATGAAGATTCCTCAGTTTGATTACAAAGTGCTTTGAATATGTGGAATTCTGGTTCTGCGCTGGGAGGTGCATGCTGCTGTTCCTATTTCCAGCAGCAAAGTATGTTCCAACACTCATCCCCTAGGCCTGTGTGAAGGCTGCCCTCAGCAGCAAATGTCCTGCAGAGAGAGAATGCTGCAGCCAGTGTTCTTGCTCCCTTCCCATCGCTCCCCAAGGCAGAATTGTGAAAGTTAGGGAGACTAACCAGAATGAATGATACTGGATGCTTCTCCAGTTTACCTCCTGGGATCATTCTGAGGGGCAGTGCTGCCACTGTAACTAGATTACTCTTGCAATTGTTTCTGAAATGACTTTGCCATACAATGATGTCATCAATTCCTGCTGTACTATGGAACACTTATTTGCCTCATTTGTGACAGTGAGATTTTGCAAGTATGTGATTCATAATGGTGGTGTAGGGAATTCTTGTGTGTGGCTGTGGATTAAGGGTAGGATGATATGTCTAGGAATCTGAAAGGGATATAAACATGCCTTGCTGATGTATATTTTTCTCTTGCTCGGAGGAACAGTGGAGCAGGTTGTTGTTGACATTAATCAGAACAGACCCATTGTAGTCTGGTTTGCTAATAGACCCATGGGAAAATACCTATTTTCTCTTTTCATTTACAGAAACCGAAATATTTGTGTAATGGCAAATGTCATCCAGGAGGTATGTTCCCATCTCCATCAGTTCACATGCCATTCTGGGGACAAAACACCCCCATTATAGCCTCCTGCAAAGTGATTCATTTGCAAGCCTTTTCCCTCTATGGAATAGTTAGTTTTGCAGCAAATGCATTTTTTTCTGTTGACCAAAACTACTTTCCATTTCATGCAGTTTCAAAATGTAATATCTCTGAGGAAATTTAACTTCTCTCAAGAGCCACTGTTGTGGCTAAAAGATTAATTCTGTTACCATTAAAAAAAACCCCTCATCCCTCCCAGATGTAAATCACTGAAACAATAATATTTATCTATTAAGTACTGACTATGTGCAAAGTAAAGGCAGTCCCTGGTCCAAAGAGTTACGTTGTGAATGACGGACAGAGAGATGACAGGACAGAGGCTGTGAAACCCAGAGGAGGGACTGACTTTGTATTCTTACTGTGTTATTAATTCATTGCAAAAGAAGTGAGTGTTCAGGAGGGACTTTGAATGAGGATAAGGAAGTGGCTTGGCACATCGGGACAGGGAAGAGATTCAGGTTCTAATTCAGGAAAGCGCTGAAAAATATACTTCAGTGCTTTCCTGAAGCAGGGCCACATTGCATAAGGTGCCATAGAAGAAGGTACAGAGATGGGAGATGGACAAAGCATCCAGACTGGCCTGCTTAGTAAGGGAGGTGTGGAGAGGGAAATGAGTTATTACAAATACCTAAATCAAAAAAAGTCATGGATATGAGGCCACAGAAATAATCGCTTTATGACAGGATTGGTCTTCTGTGTGGTGAATAGGAGCCAGATCCAATAGCCATGCTGGTCCATGGAAAGACTCCCATTACTTCAGTGGGTGCTGGAACTGGCCCGTGTGAAGGCCAGTCCTGTCAGGTTCATTGCTGCTCTTTCCAGTTTTATTCAGATTTTTTTCCCATGTGCATGATCACTGGGGGATTGTTCTCTCCCTTCCAATCATGGTAACCCCATCCCTTGCCAAGCAGCGCTGCTTCTTCAGCCATGAGGAATACAGCTCCTATGATCCCCACTACCTATTTTTCCCCTCCCCAAGATCCTGCCCTCCTCCTTTCTGTGCAGAAATATGCAGACATAGAATCATAGAATATCAGGGTTGGAAGGGACCTCAGGAGGTATCTAGTCCATTTCAAAGAGAAGACTTCAAAACCTGCTGTGACCTCCCACCTCCTCCTCCTCCATCACTCTCCCCTCTAATACCCTCTCCTCCTTTTCCCCCAGGATAGACACTGACTTTCCTTGCCTGCTAATCTCCCCACCTGCCTCTCCCATCTCCTGTTACACCTGTCTACTTGTGTCTCCTCCTGGATGTCTCCCCTTCACCTTAGCAATAGGGTTGAAAATAATGATGCTGTCATGAGAAAAAAAAAATGCTTCACCATTTGGCAGAGCCATGGAAATGCAACATTAGAGTTTAGCCAGTGATACTTGCAATGAGGTTGACTTCATGCAGCTATCTGTCTTAACTCATGTTTGCCACCTGCAAACATGATTCCTCCTTTTCTTTTTTCCCAATCACTACCTCCTTTGCATCTCTGGGTTTTTCTTTTTCCTTTTCTGACTTTGGGCCATCAGCAGATTTATTTCCTGATCTGAAGCAGGAGTGTCTGTTTTGAAGACAACTTCTTACCTTTTCCTTGCTAAAAGAATCTCAAGAATGAGGCCCGATGGCCCTAGCAGCATTCCACAGGTTCAGACTTTGTTTGCACATGTCTTGGGTGAAAAAGCAAGGTGCAGAGAATCCCTGGGAATGAATTCCGACCCTGCAAATACATTTTAGGTGCAGCTGTGCTACTGGGCAGGGATCTTTGGTGTATGTGCAGAAGGAACATGGAGCTTTCAATAAAAATGCATGTCTGTACATTTAGCTGCCGTGGCCTTGTCTACACTAGAAAGGGTTTGCCGGTATAGCGTATATTGGCAAAACAGTTCTTTTGCCGGTATAGCTTATACCAGGTCCCCAAACAAAATAAGCTATATTGGCAAAATGCTTTTTCAAAACACTAGGGCTTTTGCTGGCTTAGCTATTTTGGTTAGTAAGTGTTCTTTTCACACTCCTAACTGACAGAGCCATGCTGTCAAAACTTTGACCAGGTCTGTAGGATATGGCCATTTGTACAGTATTTTTGTTCTTTGGTAGAACCACCATGTCTGCAGTTATGAAGAGAGGCATGTAGTGTCACCACAATAAGGATGCCATCCTGCTGATGTTCTCTCTGTGGTACTAAGTATCAGAGGGGTAGCCGTGTTAGTTTGTATCCACAAAAACAGTGAGGAGTCCGGTGGCATCTTAAAAGACTAAGGCCTGGTCTACACTAACCTCCCAAGTCGAACTAAGGTACGCAACTTCAGCTACGTGAATAACGTAGCTGAATTCGGCATACCTTAGTTCGAATTTACCGCAGTTCAGACGCGGTCCACACACGGCAGGCAGGCTCCCCGTCGACTCCACGGTACTCCTCTCGCCGAGCTGGAGTACCGCAGTCGACGGCGAGCACTTCCTGGTTCGACTTATCGCGTCCAGACCAGACGCGATAAGTCGAACCCAGAACTTCGATCCCCAGCCGCCAAACTAGCGGCTGGGTGTAGACCAGCCCTAACAGATTTATTTAGGCATAAGCTTTCGTGTGTAAAAAACCCACTTCTTCAGAAGCATGGAGTGAAAATTACAGATTCAGGCATAAATATATTGGCACATGAAGAGAAGGGAGTTACCTTACAAGTGGAGAACCTGTGTTGACAAGGCCAATTCAGTCAGGGTGGATGTGGTCCACTCCCAATAATTGATGAGGAGGTGTCAATACCAAGAGCGGGAAAATTGCTTTTGTAGTGAGTCAGCCACACCCAGGATTATCTGGCTATTTGGACTCTCTCCTCAGACCCTACGCTACAGGCCTGATCGCCTACACAGATGCTTCGAGGTGGGGGGAAGAGCCCCATCCTACTATTCCTCCCTGGGAGGGGAGGAGAGCCAGTGGGGTAGTGTCATGGTGAGGCCACTGTGGGCCCTGTGTCATGGTGTGCCTCGGTCCAGACTGCCTTAATCCAATCCTGTTTCAAACAGCTAACAGACTCTGGAGACCTTTGCTCTCTGGCTGGCCAGCTGTTAATCTGACTCTGCTTTATTTTGTCAGTATGTGAGATGAACCGGACATGCTGGTCATCACCCAGTCTGAATTGCATTGTCCTTCAGTACACTGCTGGCACGTGTCCTCTCTTTGCTCTGCC